TTTTCCTTGTTTTGCAATATCTTGATTTTTTATGAACTGATCAGGTATTTCATACAGTGTCCTCCAACTGGGGTTTTTCTGATATTTTTCTCATGATTCACCTGGGAATGGGAAGATGACAGAAATAAAGTACTACCTCATTACAGCCAGTCAAGGGTACATCAAGTAACTCATCACACTGATGTTGCCCTCAATCTTCTGGCTGAGAAAATGTGGACATCTGGTTTCTCTAGCATAAAGTTACTTATCTCTCTCTTTCCACTCTGAACTCTTTGGAAGGAAGGGATTATATTCTCCTCTATTTGTTTTTTCAAAACTTACTCCTTTGGCATGAACACACGTATATTTTTGCTTTGCATTTCAAACTAATATTTCTTTCTTTTGTTCAAATTCCCCATCTTTGGCCATTGGGAGTTCTTTAAATTGGCTGCATGTTCCTTTGAAATATCTTCATTGTTGCATGTGTGTACACACATGTGTGCATTTTCCATGTACTTTCTTACTTGTGGAGCCCCATGCTTATCTTTTACACATCCTGGCCAGATCCAGGTCACTTATCCAAGCCATATTTTGTTTTGGCTGGAAAGTTATAGTAGAAGCCAAGATCTTCATGCTGGGTGTACTCCTCACAAATGGAACAGTATTAGATCTAGGTCATCTCATGACAGAACAAGGAAATATATTTGTGTGTATACTAACTAATGCATATAACATATGTATACCTATTTCTACATTTTATCTATAAATATTTCTGTATGGAACCATCCATATCGTGGGACAGAAGTTCATACTGATATCCCCAACTCTAATCTATTACTACTTAGGTGATTTCAGACTCCTCCTCTTGTTTATCTGTGACCTCTTATAACATCAGTGAGAAGCTTGGCTTTCATTATGGTCTGGCCATTTACTTAGTGGTTTGGCTCCAGTATTCCTGTGTAGCAGAACTTGGACTTACATGAGAAATAACTATCAGCTAGACAACAGTGCTTATGGACTGTTCTTTTAACCTTCAGTCTTACAGACAGCACTCTTTCCCCAAGTATTAGATTAGCCTCTTTTTTTCCTCAGTCCCTTTGGAGAGGTTGTTTAATCTATTTTCCTTGAATTCCTCCTTGCTTTGAACACACTTCCCCCCTCCCATTCTTGCCACTTTCTGAAGCAGTTCTGTAAATCTGCTCTTATGCCTTTATAAGGGGTAATAAAAAATATGGTGAATGTGCCTGCCAAATGCCATCCAAAAAAAGGCAGGCTCATAAAAACAATATAGCATGTCCTCATTAGCTTTGGTCACCATGTGACTTCTGGCACTTCCCCAAAGTCAAAATGACTATGAAATGTAAATATTTTGAATCAGTTCAGGACATCAAAGTAATCACGATATTGCAGCTGACACTCACAAATGAGGACGTCCAGAGCTGCTTCAGGAAATGGCAAGAATAGTAGGCTAAGTGGGTTTGAAGTACGGGGAAATATTAAAGGGGATCAGTGGCAATGTGTCTTTTACGGTAATTTTTAAAAACTTAAACATTCACTGTATTTTGTAATCACACATTATACAACTAGATTTCTGTGTCACAATTCTGCATTTCATCAGCATGGGGAGATCTCCCAATTTACTAAATGATTTTTTAAAGCATACATAGAATTTCATTCTTTGTGCTATAAAGTTCTAGGGGTTTTGATAAGTATATAATGTTATGTAACCACAATTATATTTCTCTATCTCAAAGTATTTTCTGTGCTTCACTTATTCAAAGCTCTCCCCCTTCTCCTAGTCCCTGGAAACCACTTACCTTTATATTATCTCTAGAGATGTGCCTTTTCCAGAAAGTCATATAGCTTGAATCACATAAATCATTTAGCTTTTGCACACTTTCACTTAGTATCATGTATTTAAGATCCACCTGTGTCATTTTGTGGCTTGATAGTTCATTTATCACTGAACAATATTTCACTGTATGAATGCACTGAAGTTTGTTCATCTTTTGAAGAATATCTTATTTGCTTCTGGTTTAAGCAGTCATAACTAAAGTTGCCATAAATACTTCCATACCAGTCTTTGTGTGTACATACAACTTCAAGAAGTAATTTAAGCATTCAAATCAGCACTTTGAAGTTTAATTACTGGACAGTACAGTAATAAATTTCTACAGTATCCTCCAAAGTGGTCGAACTATCTTACATTCCTACCGACAAAAATAAGAGTTCCTGTTACTCCACATATTTATGAGCAAGTGATGTCAGGTTTTTTTTTTTTTTAATTTTAGGCATTTTACAGGTATGTAGCTATCTTCTGATTAACAATGTCTTACTAACAAGTGATGAGTACCTTTTCACATGCTATTTTACATCTATTTTGTTTGATGAAGTATCTTTAGATGATTTATTCTTTTTTAATAAGGTTATTAATTTTCTTAGTATTGAGTTTCCTTGCATAACATGGATACAGGTACATATGTGTTTATAAATATATTTTCTAGTCTGTGTCTTGATTTTAACAGTGTTTTTCACATAATTTTAAATTTAATAATGTCTAACTTATCAATTTCTCTTTTATAAATCATGTTTTTGTTCACATGGTGAAATCTCATTGTGGAACCAAATTATATACATAGATTTTTCTCCTATGTTGTCTTCTAATGCTTCTATGATTTTGTGTAATATGGTCGGATCTATTAAATTATCTATTTTCAGTTCATTTTTCTGAAAGTGTAAGTCTTGGTTAGGTTTTTCTTTATAAACATAGGGACTTTCAGTTGTTTCAGAACCATTTATTGAAAAGCTTACCGTATCTCCACTGAATTACCTATCTTTTAATTATTTAGGGAAATAATGAGAGTGTAGTAACTGTATAGAAATATTAATAAGAGATAGAAAACAGCACAAATGATTATTGAAAGTGAGAATAAAGTGCTGTTTTAAAAATTAAGGCAAATAGGAAAATAAACAGAAAGCATATTTTTGAAGCAACAATAGATCTTACTATTACTATATCTTTGTTTGGATCATTGTTTTAGTACATGGTTACACCAGTGAGATTATTAGATAAAAAAAATACGCTTCAAAGATTTTTGTAGGTGTGTTATTTTGCTTTCAAAAGTCCCATCCTTAATTTTATAGAATAGAACACTCATATATGAACAACAAAGTAGGCAAACAACAGTTAAATCAAATGTCTGAGAGAAGAAAGCAAGATATTAAAGAGCTAACATTTATCAAGGGTGTATGTGTTCCAAGTTCCACAGTAGGAATTTTACACATTCAAATTACTTAGTCCTCATGACAAATTTAATACCAGCGCCACTTTCCAGAGTATCAGAAAAGCTATGTAACGTGCTACAAGGCATTTAGTTAACATAGCAGAGCCACGATGTTCCCAAGTGTGCCTCAAATCCAGGTGCTCTGTTCTCATTCCAGTCTTTTTCACCATAATGCTCTAAATCTTTAATTTCTTAACAGGAGGGATAGCATGGGAAAAAATTTAATTTCACAGAAATCTCCTCAAAGTTTCTGGATATTTTATAGGCTGAATCCTAAAGCCTGCTTATACACTTAGATGATATCCTCAGGACCCTGGCACTGCTCTTTCAGCATTTATAAAAGGAAAGAAATCGCATTCGTTGCAGGACAGGCAGGCACCTTTCAGCCTGGCACCTTTCAGCCAGACAGGTGTGCCCCACTGCACCTCCCTAGTATCATCAGTGAATCCTAGGGTCTCCATTCTCCTTTCCAAACACCTGCCAGCCCAGCAGTGTTGGCAGTAATGAAACTCAGCCACAGCAGAACAGGCTGGCGATGCACAGGAGAGAGGAGCCAGGCCCTACCAAATTCCTCACAATAAAACTGATGACAAAACTCAAAGAAACGAAAATGTCAGGAGGTCGGAAGTGGTCAAGAAACCCATTGTAGAATCCAATTGAAAATTTGTTATTGCCCAGTGTCTCTTGTGACAGTGACTTTTGTGCACAGCTCCTTGTCATTTGCCTGAGGAGCAGGAATGAGACAGAGACCAACAGAGTGGAAAACATGGCTCTGAAAGAGGAACTAATATAGAAGTCGCAGCAGCCAGTGCAAAGCAATTCCAGGGCAATTAAAGCCACCAGAGAAAACAACCCTGTATAATGTAAACTAGCAGATGGGGAATTTCAAGACTATTTTTTGAGACAGGGTCTCACTATGCAGTTCCAGCTGGCCGTGGGCTCACCACATAGTCCATGCTGCCCTCAAACTCACAGTGATTCACCTGCCTCAGTCTCAAGAGTGCTGGGATTACAGGCATGCACCACCATGCTTGGCAAAACTTCTTACAATAAATTAAAAATTCTAATTGCCTAATTCTAATTCTAATTCTCATTGTACATCTTTGTGGGCTATTACTATATGATAATTTAATTCATGCATACAATGTGTACTGATCAAATCAAGGTAAGTAGCATTTCCATTTGTTTACGTTTATCATTTCTTTGCACTGGGAACCTCTAAACTCTTCTCTTCTAGTTCATCAAGAGTCCCTTGTCTGGGGCTGGGGATTTAGCTCAGTGGCATAAGCGCCTGCCTTGCAAGCAGGCAGTCGTGAGTTCGATCCCCGGTACCGATAAAAAGGAAAAAGACCAAAAAAAAAAGAGTCCCTTGTCTTTCCCCACACAAATTCTGCAGGACTCCCAGGCAGCAGTGTTTTGAAGATCACTAGTCTTGGGTTACATTCTCCATCCCACAAGTCCAAAAATTCAACTTTATCCATTTATTTGGAGCTACACAAGCTCATAGGAACTGCCATGCTCACTGACTTACTAGGTCCTCAAACACACAATAGTAGTGCTAAGCTTTTTGTTGTTGCTAGTTTTTAAATCATATTTTTGTTTTAACTCATGATAAAAATTTTCTATTTGTTATAACATTCATACTAAGATACACTCAGATTATCAATTAGCTATTGCTCCATAACAACCATGTCGAAAATTCAGAGACTTAAAACAAGTAATATTGCTTTTACTCACACAACAGAGGTCAGCAGGGAAGTTCTGCTGATCTGCGCTGCGTTCAGTGCTGTCTCTGGGGCTCTTTTGTTCAGCTGGTGGTTAAGGGTGTGGGCTAGCTGAGCTAGAAAGGACTCACACGTGTGAGTCCTGATATTGTCTGGTGATCACCTGGAGCAAACAGGGATAATGGTCCTTGTTTTTCACCAGTAAGCAGGTTTGATGTAAACGTATCATCACAGTGATTGTGTAGGATTCAGAGACAGAGAGGCACTTTCAAGGCCTCTTGTGACCCAGGCTCTGAACTGGTATACTATCATTTCTACCATACCACCTTGCCCAAAACATGCCACGAGCCCAGGCCAGGTTCAAGCAGTGAAGAAAGAGCCTTCACCTGTGGAGGGGATGAATTGCAAACTCACACTGCATGGGGCCTGAATTCAAGGAGAGAAATAGTTATAATCACTTTAGCATCAATCTATCGTATTTCTCTTTCTCATGCTCTTGGAAACTGAAATAAGCACATTTTACTTGGTGAATATAAAGTCTAATATAATTTGATGGCACTCAGTATTACTTAAACCAACCTTCAAAAGAACTTGATGACTACAGCATTCTGGCTTCAAAACCATAATACTAGATATTCTTTCTTACTTTTTCTGTCCCTGTTCCTGTCTCTGTCTCTGTCTCTGTCTCTGTCTCTGTCTCTGTCTCTGTCATCTCTGCCTCCCTCTGCCTTTCTCCCCACTTCTCACTGTCCAAATGTCCATCTGGAGATCATTTCTCAGGGAGGGGTCTTTCTGTAGATGTATCTCAATCTATTGGTAATTTCACCTTTCTGGTGGCACTTTTTTCTACATAGTAGATTTACTTTATGTGATCTCTACAAAAATCTTCATATTTGGCTTTTGTCCATAAAATTTTAACCACCACTTAAGTTATTTCAGGGAAAGACAGAGGAGAGTATTTCCTCCTACCTCCCTCTGCCTTCTCAGGAGCACAGAAATAGTAGCACTCAGGGAACCCCAAATGAAAACCTTTGCTTTTCTTTCGTTAGCTATCACTAAAATGATCAAGAATTTCTAGTCCCATAATTCGTAATCCAGTGGAAGAACCCAAACATCTGTGGCTCACAAATTTACTTCACACCTAGGGATATCTCCTGAAATGATCTGCAACTGAAAGCTAATTGTTTTATGGAAATTCAAGAGGTGTAAACTCTGTTACAGTAAGTTAAGAATTTGGTTTTTAATGTGCCTTTGGAATGAGTTTTACTGCAGAAATTAGTTTTCTATGTCATTATTTTGTCATACAGTGCTTTCTTTATAAAAGCCCAAGGGACAAATTTCTCTCTGATTTCAGGATGCAAAATGTGTGTTTCTTGTTAGCATGCTTTTGTGGTGGCTTTTACTCCAGACAGTGAGAATCCTGTATATTAGTACTCTCCTTTGCATTGCTTGCTGGCCAAACCTGAGGTCCAACTCTGGCAAATTTACAGGTCTTTTTGGTGAGTGAATTTTAGAAGTTAACCTCATCTGATTTTGCCTTACATTCTTAATTCTAAATGCATTTGGTTCTGCTTCTTCAATCAAATATTTTATATGTATTTGGTTCTAGTTAATGCATTATTTTAAGCAGCCTTAAATGCTTTATAGGACCTCAAAGAGAGTAAACAAATATTGATTCCCAAGAGAGCTATAGCTTAAGTTTTTAAATATATCTTTAAAATCCTGTTTCTTCTATTTTGATGGGACTCTTAGCTTTTTATTTTAGATTCTGAGACTGAAATGAATCACATTTCAGAATGGTTCATTAGCTTCTCGGGTCCAGCAAAACCCATCTCATTTTCTTTCTTTCTTCCCTTTTATCTCTTTCAGGTCTTTGGCTGCCCCAAGGCAACTATTACAACCATATCTTTTCATTAGTAAGTATTATAAAGCATATATTAGCTTTATACACATGGGTCTTAAATATAGTGAATTTTATTGTTATAAAACAGTCTGTTCCTTTTTCCACTCTGCAGTGTTTGTGAGACCAATGTTTTTGGCATTGTTACTTTGTTACTTTTCTCTACCAAATAGCAAACACCCAACACGTTTTGCCTCTATCATCTGCAAACAACCTCCCACCACCACAAATGTGGTAAGATAGCCAGCCTCTCATACACAGGGTAAACGCTCTTGAGAATGAAAAGGTGATATTAATAGTCACACAAGGACAGAACCTATATACTATGACTCTCCCAGTCAAGGTAGTAAACCTTGTCATCTCATACAGCAGCTTAATGAACTCTTCGAGAATTCATTTGTGACATGGGTACCTGGGAATATATTTGGCTTGAGCCATGAAATAAACACAGACCTAGTTTTCTATCACCCTCAACACCCTCTAAAGAATTTCTACAAGTGTATGCAACCCCATCAGCAATGTATAAGGGTTTGCATGGCCCCAGGGACCCATCAACAATTGGCAGTACCCAGTTTGGTAAGTTTTGCTGTCTGATATATGCAAAATGATTTCTTATTGTTTATTTGTTTTCCATTTTTCTGTAAACAATGAATTTTAGCATCTCTTCATATTCTTCTTAGCTTTTTACGTTTTCTTTTCTCTTAAGTTTTATTCCATCTTTGCCCATTTTCCATTTGAGTATTTTTTATTAACTTATAGGAAATAGAACTTTTTCTAAAGTGAGCACACATTTCTTGTCATTTTTAATAGTGCATATTGAACATGACTATGCTGTCTTGAAGAACAGGGTCACATGATAAGTACTGATGCTGTGATTATACATTGCTAAAGAACCAGAGTTAAACATATAAAAACCAGTCAACATGTAGGAGTCATCTTCACAGGTAGCCATTTCCCAAAGTAAATGGAAGATGCCTGGCTATAAAAGATATACTGGACACTGTAAGAGATTTGTCCTTCTAAACATCATTCACTGAATCAGAGTTAGATGAAGAAGCCATATCCAGAATGATTTTCACATACTCTGGCAAGGTTTTTTTTTAAATACAGCTATCAATGTCATCTGTCTTAACAATATTTTCCAAAGTGGCACGAACAATAGACCACTGGTACTGCCTGTTGCCTTCCTCCTCTTCTTTTATGTAACTTATCCTGCTTATTCAAGGTATGAGAGAGGATATTCTTTCTTCATTTGTGACTCTGATTGGAACTTCATTAGGTGGAGTTTACATGAAAACTTAGAAGTTCTTATCCTCCCAGGAAAAATACTACTTTTGAAGACATGTTACTGGAAGAAGAATGAATAGTAATTTGTCTTTCACCAAATAGCAATGGAATTCACAACAGTTTCTCAGAAGATTACATTGAAAAAAACTCTGGAGGCTAAGTGTAAACTTGGTGGGGTAAAAGTGTCAGGATGGTGACCAGCCTACTGTATGGGAAAGTGGGTCCTAGCGGAAGGAAGTTAGGTCCCTGGGTGCACGCCTTGGTACTCTGCCTCACCACAGGCCCAAAGGCAAGGGAGCCAACTAACCATGAAATGAAACTTTGAAAGCCAAAATGAACTTATTCTCCTATAAGCTGATGCTCTCAGTATTTTGTCACAGTGATGGAAAGCTGATTAGCACATTCACCCATCTTCTTTACAGCATTCCTTATATTTATTGTGACATTCCCTGTGGTGATGTTTACATCTCTCATTTAACCCTCCAAACTATCCTATGAAGTAGTCATCTCTATTGTATTCATGAGGAAATGGAGGCAGATAAATAAAGTAACTGAAGTAACTAAGGCAGTCTGTCTCCAAAACCCAAGTCTTAAATCTGCCATATTATTCTTTATTTAATATTTATAAACTTTTACTTTAGGTTTACTCTGGGTTAAATATAGTTGAAATCTAAGGTTGCTTTAATTACTTATCTTGTTATGTACTTGGGAGCAATGAAACTTGTGAATGCTTTATAAAAATTAATTAGTTGCATAATTTCTATAGAATGGCTCAAGATATAAAATGTGCTCAGAAATCAGGAATTTGCTTCTCTGGAAAAGTCACTGAATTCTGCAGTTTCATAATTTCTATTTTTCTTTGTTTTAAGCTTATTGTCCAATATGGTGACCTTTTCTGATACTACCAAGTTCTGTTGAGATAAAATACACATGAATGAAATGATTATGCTGCTTTCAAAAAATTTTTGCTTCTTCAATTAATATAGGACCAAAAGAATTGGGGCAAATTTATAATTTTCCCATGTGAGGACTGTTTGTCATAGGTTCTGTAAGATAATTTTGGTGATGGCACTGATTATTTTGCTGCCTATATGTATGCCATTGGTCATTCATATAATTTCATGTTGTGATCACTACATAAAAATCTAGTAGGGAGATAACTGAAAATTGCAGTGATAAATTCACTAGAAATTATTTATAATACCTAATTAGTAACATGCAACCGTATCTTATGGAACTGAGATTGTCTTGCTTAACTATGCACTATTAGACATCAAATCTCCAAGTTTTCAAATGTTCTAGAGTAGCCTCTTGAATGGATAATAAATATCCTTTGACTCTACAGAAGCGGATAGGATGTGGTCTTACTTTTCGTAAAAGGTGTCCTACTTCCCTTTCACCCCAACCCCACGTCCCCATTGCAAGTTCACATTCCGTCCTTTCAGGGCTGTATTCTTCCTTATACTTCAGATACCGACATGACTCATTCTATTTTCCCCATTGTAGTGTTGCTTTATTCTCTTTGCCACTGTATTTTTTTACTGTAATTTTAATATTTGCTATTTATAATCTTTAAGGCCACTCTGCTTTCTCCACCCGCTACTCCTATTTATATCTTTTCACTTTCTCTATAGACTTCCCCTTCTACTAATCTCCTGCTCCTTGCTCTGGGCTGAATAGAGTATTCATTCAAGTGATAGTTTCAACTTGGCACTGTGGAGTAGGTGCTCCCCTGCCCCCAACAAAGTTAGCTGAGAACACTCTTGAAATTGCCTAGCAAGTAGGGCATGGATTTGTATGTCTGTGTGCAAATGCACAGATTTTTCTAGGGAAGGGGCTGTGTCAAACCCTATGGATGGTTTGGCCCCAAATAGTTTATAATTACCCTTGTCTTGACCTGTCTTACTGAAGATGATGAAAAGTTGGAATTTTTAATTTCTCAACTTTTCTTTGACCACTGAGAAGGAAGACATCTCTTTTTGAATAGAAAGCAAAGCTTTCATAGGACAAAACC